GGAGTTAGCTAATTCATCCCTATATAAATAGTCACCAAAGTTGTGGTTTCACTTATGAAATTTGGGAGTTTAGATTTTGAGTTTATTTTCCTCAACATTAATACAAAGAGAGTTTGTTTTAAACCCTAAAGATTTATTGCTGCTTTATATATTAATGTTTCTTAAATCCACTGTACGACTCCATTCGTTGGGGTCACATTCGAATCAGACCACATGTTTCACGTTGGTGACTAATGAAACATAGACATAGCATGCTCTGTCCTACTACGTAACATCATAACAAAACGTTTCATGCGTCATATATATATATATATATATATATATGCCTCGAAATTGATATTTATGAAAAATATTTCAAATGTGAAACTTCCGACATTTAAGGATGGCCACATAAAGATAATAATGGACCATGCATGTTCATGTCGCTTTTGCTTGTCAATTGTCATATATGGTGTGATTTACGTTAATATGGACTTTCACTCAATAGTCGTCATCAACGAAAATTCAAAATATATTTTCTGATAGTATTAATGGCTCAATTTGTATTAGGCCTAAACAAATCTCCACAAAATTGATGGTTTCTTTGGATCCTATCTCAAGCACTAAGCTCCATAGGACCATAGCTAGCCAATCTTCAGACTCTAGGCCCCCAGCGGTACGTATCACATGGTGAATTAGTTGTTTTTACCTTTTTCCGTCTAAGACTGACATTTTCGCTGAAAATATAGTTCAATTTAGCAAACTCTGTACCTCGCTAACTTATGATTATATTTTGTCTGAAATGTAAGAGGACGTGATTCTTAAATCATATTTTTAATGTTATTCATAATACCATACATGTGAAATTTTACCTTAGCTTGTGTACTATATATAAGCGTAAAACAAAGCTATATTCATACCTCAAACACAATATTCATCATGATTCTTCTCTTTAGTACTCTCCAAATTTCGCTCTTCTCTTTGGTTATTGTAATCGCCGGTTACTTATTTTTTAAGAAACCGAGTAAATGTGAAGTTGACAGCTTAACCATCCCCGAGCCACTGGGAGCTTTGCCTCTATTTGGCCACCTCCATCTTCTCCGCGGTAGAGAACTCGTCTGCAAGAAACTAGCTGCCATATCCGACAAACTTGGTCCTATCTTCTCCCTCAAGTTAGGGTCTTACAGGCTGGTTGTAGCCAGCGACGCCGAGATCGTCAAAGATTGTTTCACCACCAACGACTTGGTTCTAGCCACTAGACCCAATATAGCCTTTGGTAGGTACGTAGGCTACAACAATGCAATTCTCGCGCTGGCTCCATACGGAGACTATTGGCGTGAGTTACGTAAGATCTCCACCGTCCATCTCTTCTCGAACCAAAGCATGGAGATGCTTGGCCACATTCGTTACTCCGAAATAAACGAGTTTATTAAACATCTATACATAGGGAGTGATGGTACTTCGATGGTGAAGATCGACATGTTGTTCGAGTTTTTGACCTTCAATATAATCCTTACGAAGATGGTTGGTAAGAGGATTGGATTCGGCAAAGTGAAGAGCGAAGAGTGGTGTTATAAGGAAGCGATGAACCAAAGTGAGTACTTGGCTGCGGTTTTCATGATAGGTGACGTCATTCCATGGCTTGGATGGTTGGATTTCGCGAAAATCTCTCAAATGAAGAAAACTTTTAAGGAGCTTGACTCGGTCATCACCAAGTGGCTCCAAGAACATCTCAAGAAAAGATCAAGAAACGACAAGGATCATCAAGAGAAGACTATCATGGATCTATTGCTTGACATCTTACCAGAAAATGTTGTAATATGTGGACATGTTCGTGATGTAATCATCAAGGCAACTATTTTGGTATGCAAAGTTTCTCTACCCTCGTTAAATTAATTTGGATAAATCTTAGGATATCTCACATCGACAAAATGTTGTAGTACTGATTATTTATAACCGTTCTTTACCAATTGGTTTTGTAGATTATCATGTAATAGTGGAACCAACATGAATGTTTTGTTTCTTGTTGTAGGTTCTTACATTAACAGGATCAGACAGCACATCCATCACTCTGACATGGGCGGTGTCACTGCTTCTAAATAATCCGACCGCTTTAAAATCAGCACAAGAAGAGATTGACAATAGTGTAGGGAAAAGTAGATGGGTTGAAGAATCCGACTTACAAAACCTCAAGTACCTACAAGCTATTGTTAAGGAAACTCACCGGCTTTACCCACCAGCTCCTCTTACAGGTCACTAAGCAAAGAATCTTATCTGTTTCTGCTAATCTTGTAAACCTATATGCTTAATACAAAATGATGGATGATCAGGAATCCGCGAAGCGAGTGAAGCTTGTAATCTTGGAGGATACCGTGTTGAGAAAGGCACACGCTTGCTCATTAACATCTGGAAACTTCATAGGGATCCGAAGATGTGGCCTGACCCCAAAACCTTCAAGCCTGAGAGGTTCATGGAGGAGAAATCACAGTGTCAAAAGAGCAACTTCGAGTATATTCCGTTCAGTTCGGGAAGAAGGTCGTGTCCAGGGATGAATCTTGGCCTAAGAGTTGTTCATTTCGCGTTGGCTCGGTTGATTCAGGGATTTGAGTTGCGCAAAGTGACTAGTGAACAGCTGGATATGGCTGAAGGGCCCGGTTTAGCCTTGCCAAAGATCAAGGCGGTTGAAGTCTTGGTTATGCCTCGGCTCGACCCCGAGTTGTACCGTTTACTCTAAACCATTGTGTATCGATAATTATCTAGCTTTCTCGAGATCATGCCTTTTCGATGCAATATATATATATGTAGAGCATCGATGGTTTGAATAATGATCTGGAAAGAAAGAGGAGAGACATATGGTTCTCAATCCCCACTCAAAAAATATATTCCACTTTCATCCACACAATTCTTTGACGAATTGAATCCATATAATATCTTTTTCAAATAATCGAGAACTGAAAACGACTAAACAGTAATGGTTTTCCTATTACATAATAACTAATTTTATGTAAGAAATACTCATTGTGGGTTGTTAATTTGTATATTTTATTAGATTTGAAAATCCAAACCGAATTTAGTGTTATTGCTTATGATTTTAAATTCGATGTTCAAATCTTATATTATTGGTTCTATGATTTATAATTACTAATTCAAATAATATATTAATCAATCCTAGGGATTTACCAACTTATGGATTTATATATATCATTAAAATTCACATATTAGACTTTAAATCACTGTATTTTAAAAGAATTTTTAAATTATATACACAAATAAATTAAAAATACATAAACAAGCAACACCCTTTTAATTAATAATTTTGTTTTAGCTGGTTTTATTTTAGATTTTTAGTTTTATTTTATAAATACTAAACCAAACAAAACCATTTGTAATTCGATTTGGTTTGACGCAGTTTCCAGTTTGGCTTTTAGTAAGTAAAATACTAAATTTCTGTCATGATGAAATTTCCATAAATTTTGGTTTATCCAATAAAGTATGGTTCAGTTATACTAAAATCTGTTGCGATTTCAGTTTGGGAGTAAGAGAATATAACTAATGGTGTATATTTTGTTTTGGTTTAAGCATTTCCGTATGGTTCAATTCAATTTTAGATTTACAACTAACTCCTAGTTTATACCGTAAATCAAGATGTACAACAAAGATAACATGGTATACCATGCATGTTCTTGTGTCCTACTTGCAAAAGACGATCTAACCAACAAAATCTGATTATCGACCTATCTGAAAAGCTTTGTAGTTGGTATAGCCTCAAGATAACAACAAAGTTTTTGCTTGAACACTTGTGGTTGATCTAGGATTAGGCTCCACGTACCATAATATGCACAGTACTGTAAAAAGAAAAAATTCCAAAACATTTATTATGCATTTTGACACTAAAAAAGAAACCTCGATTTTCTACGAAAATTCTTACGAAATATTGGTAGAAATTTTTTTTAGCAAATTCCTATGAAATTATGACGAATTAGAAAAATGGTAAGATATTAATTGGAAATTTCTTACAAAAAAAAGTTAGAAAACGGTTTGATAATCTATATAAAAATTTTTGTCTGAAATTGGTAGAAAATAAGTGGGACCAAATTAACTATTAGAATGGTAGAAAATTCTTTAAAAAATTCTAACAACTTTTCTACCAATTAATACCTGTAAATAAAACGTAAAAATTAGGTAGATAAAACATAGAAATTTGGTTAAAAATCAGTCAAGTTTCTAACATCTCAATTGACCAATTGCTAAAAAAAGCCAATATTTTACAATTTTCTGACAACAATTTTCGGTAGGAAATCGAGCTTTTTTTGTAGTGCGAAGTTTTTTCATCTTTTATCTGTCGAGTTATTTCAGTGGCTCACTCATATGTATAACTCTGTTTACCACTAGTTCAACACTTAGTTGGTCTCTGGTCAATATTTACTTTCGCGAGAGCTTTAAGTTTTCTTCTTGGAGAATTTTAAAGTTTGCCAGACTCTCTTATAACTAAACAATCTTTGTAGTAGTTTATCGCCTTTTCACAAGGAGATAGAAGCATTACTACACTTACTATATACATAGACTATGTAGAATATTTTCATACGAATGATAAACTGTCAAACTTTGAAAACAGACAAAGTTGAATTGGTTACGTTTCAATTTCCAATTTCCATAGGATGCCATGCTTTCTCCAATCTTCTAGATGATATTGGTTTGTTTCGAGTTAATTTATCAGATTTTTCACTATACTTAATTTTCATTCTTTAAATTTATAGGCAGACTAGCTCTTTTTTTAGAGTTCAAATTTTGAATACATCTTTTGTAAACTACTTCATTCCTAATTCAAAAGCAAATCAAGGAGTCAAATCACAACCAAAAACAACTTTAGAAAATCACCCAAAAATTCTATTTTCCAAATATAGATAAGCTAAATTTATTGTTTGCTCTAATCTCTCTCTATAAAAACCCACTTTTCACCTAATTCACAAAAACAAAACATACAGAAAAAGGATCAACCATATTCCCTGAGGATAGAAAACATGAAGGCATGGATGATATTGATGTTGGTGATTTGTGTATCTATGATTGTGGGGCAATCAGAGGCTACCAAAGGCCGTAAGTATTTAAATCCAGCCGTGTGATTAACCCATGCCTTCGTCCTAATCCTCCAGCGGGATGTCATCCTCATGGTTCTCATCATAAGCCTCGTGTCCCTGTTCACAAATATCGTCGTGGTTGCACTATAATTAACCGGTGCAAACGTGCTACATGAACCTCACATGACGTTCCTTTTCCTTTACATTGATCATTTTTCTATATGATACGACAACTACTAACATTTTTTTTTTGTTTCATATTAATATGTATGAAACAAAGTAATTGATATATAAAAAGGTAATTGATATACACAATTGTGTAAATACATGGTGTTGTATATATGACAATTTCTGATTTGTCTCAAAACTGAAAATCCTAAATATGGTTTATGTCATAATATCGATATTTTTTTACTATAAAATAAGTTTGACGTTTCTTCATCAAAATGGTTCTTTTAATACATTTATATTTAGAATAAAATAAGTACGAGGCCTCGTTCTTTAATTTCTCCTTAAGGCCCTTAAAAGCTAGGCACGACATTGTATCAACCCATATGATAAATTTTGTCATTGTACAACCTCAAGATAAAAACAAAATCTTTGCTTGAACAGTTGTGGTTGATATAGAATTAGGCTAGCTCCTCAAGCCAAAATATGCACAGTACAATATTAATACAGAAAGAAAAAAACTCCAAAGCATTTATCATGAGATCGACCTCTCAGAGTACCTGTCGAATTATTCCAGTGGCTTACTCATATGTAACTCTGCTCACCACTAGTTCAACGCTTAGTTGGTCTCTGCTCAATACTTAGTCAATTGTAAGACTAGGTTTAACCACCTGATTGTATAAGTTTGGTGTATTTGTGAGTGTTGGGATATTAGTTCAAATCTCATATCGGAAATTTAGACCAAGATGGTCTAGTATATAAATTATGTCCAAAAATAATTAATATGAAACCTTTTAGAAATAAGAAAAAAAATAAATTCTTGCGGGTTTTGCCAATTGGGCCCAAAGCGAATAATATCATACTAATAAGGAATTGAACATGGATTTGAAAAGTCCAACAACAATTGGCATTAGAGCAATTTTCTGAAAAAGGTGGATTTAGACAAGTGGGTGTGGACTGTCTGTTTAGTGTGGGAGAAAGAACCCTTAAGGTGACCTTGCGATTGAGATGTTGGTGCCTATATCGAAAGTCAGTCTTGGAGGTGCAGAAAGTCAGGCGATCGATATTGTTAGTGTATCATGCTTGGGGCCTTTACCACAGGTCATACCAAAGCAGTGTGCTAGAAAGGAGTGTTGATTGAGGAACTGAGAAGGGTGTGATAAAAGGAGCCGAAAAACAAATTCATATAAGTTTTATCACTTAAGTGTAAAATGGACAATATCATATTAATAGAAAATTGGATATTGGGTTTAAGCCTAATAGAGAAGTTCAAATATCGGGAAATTCTCGTAGAAAATGCCTTAATTACTATTTCCAGAGTTGTGTTTCGTATAATCTAAAAAGCCATTTGCTATATAACGTGTTTAGGTTCTTTTGTTTGATAAGCCTAATTTTTATTATTGCAAAAATGTTACGCTGAATGATTTGGTTTATTGGTTATCATATTTTTTATTAAACAAGTTGGTTAATAAACTAGAGGGTATAACCAAGAACAAATAAGCAAAATCTCTAATAAAAATATAGCAACTAAATCAGCCGTAAGGAAATTATCATTCAAAAAGAATACTACCACTATAGAGATCACATTTCTCTACTCATTCTTGTTTGTAATTTCTCGACATGTAACACCGAATATATGTAAAAGGACGAGGTCTGATGTGACCTATCTCACCGAATGTTGTTGATATATGGGGTGGAGAGTTATAGAAAAACGTTTCTGATTTTTGTGAAATTTTTTACCATTGCACTTTTATCTTCTACCTGAAACAAACACAGTTTTAGATGATGAATCATTGCTTTTATATCAAAGACCTTGAGGCTGATGCCCAACTCTTCAAGAGATGAGCAAGCTTTGATGTGCCATTGTTTAGCATTTTGACACCTTTTGGTTTCTTCAAGTTTATGTTTCACTTGTTTGAGTTCTTCTTCTTTTTCTTCAAACTGAATTTTTAAATCTCCAACCTGAATAGATGATTTTTATTTTCATTTTTCGTTTTTATTATGTTATGAGATAGTATTATGAGTTTTCTATATTTTATATGTTTTCTAAGTAAACCATATTTTGTAACTCGTATTGGAAATACTTTTAATGGGAAAATGAGGAAAGTTATGGGGCATGCATCTCCATGAAGGAGCGTCTTGCCTGATTATTCGTCAATATGATGTGTTTACAAAATATGGTAATTACCATCGAACACTAAGTACTCAGCATAGTACTCTCAAAACCATTTTCTTAATTTTTTCTTTTTTTCCATTTTATTAAATATACATATTTTATTGTATGTCATCTCAAAAATTTACTCTAAACTTACGTTTAAAAAAAAAAAAAATCAAGAGTTCAAATTTTGAATGCATCTTTAGTAAACTCTTTTCCTCCTCATTTTGATTTGATCTTTGAAACAAATCAAGGAATCGAATTAAAACTAAAAACAACCTCGAAATATTATCCAAACTATATATATGTATGTATATGTATATATATATATATATATTAACATCTTTGGTTTAGATAATGGGTTATCCAATATAAATAAGCTAAATTTAGTGTTAGCTCTAATCTCTCTATAAATACCAACTTTTCACCTATTTCACAAACAAAACAAAAAGCATACAGAAGAAGGATTGATCATATTCCTAAGAACAGAAAACATGAAGGCATGGATGATATTGATGTTGGTGATTTGTGTCTCTATGATTGTGGGGCAATCAGAAGCTGCCAAAGGCCGAAAGTATTTAAATCCAGGCGTGATTAACCCGTGTCTTGGCCCTAATCCTCCAGCAGGATGCCATCCTCATGGTTCTCAGAATAAGCCTCGTGTCCCTGTTAACAGTTATCGTCGTGGTTGCAGTTATTATAACCGGTGCAAACGTAGCCCATAAACCTCGCATGACGTTTTTTACATTGATCCTTCTTCTATATATAATACAGCTTCGACCAACATTTTGACTTTTTTTTTTTAATTTTTGTATGAAACCAAGCAATTGATAGGATCCAATTGATATACATATTCGTATAAATACATGGTGTTGTATATATGAACAGTTTTTTTTTGTTATTTCGAATGCAGTTCATGTATTTAGTGGTATAAATTATTTTTATTTGTTTGTGAAATTCAATGATATCTTTAAAATATATTATGATTTTTGAAATTCTTCTAAATGATGTTAAATCATGTATTTGTGTGCATTGAAAATATAAAAAGATCCTTATTATGAAAACAATTAAAAAAAATTCCAAAACCACACTTATAACGAAACAGGGTGAGTACAACATAAAAATTAAAATTATACATATATTGTATTACCGAATTACACTCTGATTTAAAATAACAATGATCATATTAAATACTTATGATATTATTTTTTTTTCCCTCTACCCAACTATTTCAATCATATTTAGCCCATCATAGAGTTGGTCTGAAGACCATCATTGAGCGGCTCGTTATGATCAATTTGGAAAAAAATAACTCCTCTAGCTCGAGCTTCTTTTGCAAGACTATCTGCCCGGATATTTCGACATCTTGGAATATGAGATAGGGCGAACTCAGAGAAGCATTCGCGATATGTCCCGAAAGACAGCCAATTTGTTGGAGATTCAGACATGCTCACAAGATCCGAACAATCAGTATGGAAGTGCACTGATAAAATTTCTCTTTCTCTCAATCTTGACATAGCCCATAGGAGGCATTCCATCTCGGCGTGAAGAACCGACAGGCTTCGACGGCATCTCTGGATTCCAAAAATTTCATTTCCTCTGCCATTTTCAAGGCTCCACACAATGCCACTAACATGTCCGTGATTGATCCAGGAGGCATCAGTACGGCATATCGGGATCTGCGGTTCCTCAGGTAGTAATGTCGGAGGGGGGGGCCACCGCCACTCCGTTCCCGTCGTCAACGTCTTCAGGTTGGTTTGCAGATCTCCAACTTTCAGCTTCCACTTTTGCGTGGGACAAAGTGTCTTCCGGGGAAGTATCTCTTCTTTTGAATGTTTTCTCGTTCCTTACTTTCCAAATATACCATAGGATCCAAGGATAGATATCCTTTTGTGGATCTGTCATGCCTGTCTCTTTTTTTTTCAAAAGAGGAACCTCATATTTTGATAAATAGATGTACTCGGGAAGAGACCCGGAAGGGACGAAAAGTCCGATAACGCCCAGACTTGTAAAGCTGGGGGACATAAAAACAGGAGATAGTTTATGGACTCCTCAGGATCCCCACATCGGGGGCAGCGTTTGTCCGAACCCATGTGTCGGTATGTGAGATTCTGACATATAGCAACGCACCCTGATAAGGATTGCCACATAAAATGTTTCATCTTTCCAGGTGTACAAACTTTCCAAACATGTCATTGAAGGGCTGTGATGCTCGGTTCCCTCATCGCAAGAGCTTCCCGTTTGATCCTTGTCCTTCGAATCAGATCATAACCTGACTTAACCGAATAAAGTCCCAATTTGGAATGGTGCCAATTAGCATATCTATCCAAAGTACAGGTTTCGCTGGGTCTCAACCCAAGAATGAGAGAAACATCCTCAAGATGGTAAAAATCTCTAAGTAGGGGATAGTTTCATTGTTCGTATCTTGACGGATAAACGAGTATACAAATGTTCCCGGGTCTTGAAATCCGATCTGCGGGGCAGCTCTTGGTGGTCGAGCTCTAATATCCGGGATCCAAAGTTCGCTTCAAATTCTCGTGCTCAGGCCCGATCCAATAGTCTTCCTCAAGCCCATTTTTAGGAATGGTTTTGCGGCCATTATACTCCTCCACCCATATGATGGTGAGTAGACGTTTCTGTCCTCCAGAGGTGTCTATAATATCTACCTCTTAAGACACGAGCCAAGAGAGATGACGGGTACTGGATAAGGCACCATAGATGTTTTGTTAGAAGAGCTAAGTTAAAGTCTTGTAAGTCTCTAAATCCTAGTCCTCCCATATCCTGAGGGATGCAAATTTTGTCCCAAGCAATCCAGTGAATCCCGCTGCTATTCTGCTTTGAGCTCCACCAGAAGTTAGCAATGGCACTTTGCAGTTTATCGGTCACGTCTTTTGATAATAGAAAGCATGACATGACGTACGTATGAACAGCTTGAGCGACCGATTTTATTTGTATTTCTTTTCCACCTTTGGAAAAAAGTCTTGCAGATCAATTGTTATCTCGGTTAGTTAGGCGGTCATGGACATAAGAGAATAATTTCTTCTTTGATCCACAAATTTGTTCTGGGAGATCCAGATATATTTCCATGCCGCCCTCCGATGATATTCCAATGGCATTCTTGATACCTTGCTTTAAATGTGATTCTACTCTGTTCCCGAACATGATGGAAGATTTACCCAGGTTGAGTTGTTGTCCAGAAGCCGATCCATATGTATTAATGATCCTGAAGATCTCGGCTCCCTGCTGAACATCCGCTCTACAGAAGAAAAGGCTGCCATCCGCAAATAGAAGGTGTGAAACCGGAGTGCTCGGTTGGGCTACTTTCAGCCCAGAAGTACGTTCCTCCCCCTCTGCTCCATTGAGAAGTGAGATGAGAGCCTCGGTACACAGAATAAAGAGGAATGGGGAGAGGGGATCTCCTTACCGCAATCCTCTTGAAGGGATGATTTTTCCCTTCGGCTCTCCATTTATGAGGACTTGGTATGATACCGAGGAAATAAATACAGAACATCAAGAGTCTGACCCATCTCTCAGAGAATCCTAGTTTGAGCAGGAGGGCTTCGAGGAAGCTCCATTCCACTCGATCGTATGCTTTACTCATGTCTGTCTTGATGGCAAGTCTTTTCTACAAACAGAGTTGGTACGGAGGATATGAAAATTTTCTTGTGCCAACAGAATATTGTCTGTTATAAGACGCCTGGCCATGAAGACCGATTGAGTTGCCGTGATTAAATTTGGTAGTGTCTTTTTTAGTCTTTTACACGTAAGCTTATATATAGTTTTGTAGCTTACATTACAAAGACCAATCGGGCGGAATTCCACCATTGCTCTCGGCTTCTCTTTTTTGGGAATAAGGCATATATTTGTTTGATTTAGTCGAGGATCAAAGACTCCCGAGACGAAGAAGTCTTTTACCAATTTAACTATATCATGGCAAAAATCCTGCCAGAATTTTTGATAAAATTTACTTGTCATCCCGTCTGATCCAGGGGCTTTATCCGGATATATATATCAAAGTGGGCTTCCTTAATTTCTGCTTCCGAAGGGTCCCTTAGCAGGATCTGATTAGAAGTAGTTGTAACTTTCTCAGTGATAAAACGGAGCGCATTTTCTGGTTCTGTGGGCTGAGACGAAGTGAACAGATCTTGAAAGTATTGGGAAGCCACCCTTTCAATATCTTTCGCATTCTCCACCAAATTCCCATTATTATCCTTTAAGGAAATGATTCGGTTCCGGCTTCTCCTTTGTTAAGTAAGAGCATAGAAGAATTTGGTGTTCTTATCACCATCATTGTCTCATCGCTCTCGGCTCTTTTGTTGCCAATAGGTTTCTTCCTCACGAAGCGCTGAGCAAAGTTTCCTCCTGATATCTTCTATCTCTTCTGTCGTTGTGTTCTCGTCATCTTGCGCTGCATCCAGTTGGTTCTTTAATTCCTATATCATCTTCTCCGATTTTGTTGGGAGAGATTTCTTCCAAGTACAAATACTCTTACGACAGGAAAGTTATTTTTTGGTGGAAATCACGACGCAAGATTTCATCAAAAGAGCCCCATCCAGAGATAACCGCCTCTTATAAACTTGGCTTTCCCAGCCATCTTTTATCAAATCTAAATGATTTCTTCCTCCGTTGATTATCATCTCGAAACATTGCTAGAACTGGACGGTGATCCGAGCCCCATAATTTGAGGTATTCCACTGAAGTGTAGGGAAGTTTAGATTGGAATTCTTCATTTTCTAGGGCTCTATCTAGACGGCACTTGACTTTTCCAGAACGCCTTTATATGGAAAATCTAGCATGCCACAATTATGCAACATAGTTTGAAAGGGAATGAACAAAAGTTCTGATATCCTTCGCCCCCCGTTTTTCATGGTTTCCGGTTATATCATTAAAGTCTCCTATCATAAACTATCCGTGTGAGCCGTTCCCAGACATGCTCTCGTTTTCTACAACCGGATCTCCATAGACGAATGTCATAAAGATTTTATGTCCGTCTAGAGAGGTTACTACATCTATCAAATACTCATCCGAACAAGAAATAGAAACCAAAAGTTTATCCATATAAAAAAGAGCTAGACCGCCGTTTCGACCTCTCGGTTCCACGGTACAAACATGGTCATAGCCAAAATACATTTGCATATCTTGCATAAAAGACCGATTGTTTTTAGTTTCTGTTAAAAATAAAAAAAACGAGGGGAAAAACAAAAGTGCAATTCTTCTAGATGTTCCTTCGTCAGATCGGCTCCCTCCCCCTGAAGATTCCAGCCTATCACATTCATGTTTAAGGTTTGGCCGGTTTCTGGGACTCATCCCCCCCCCCCCGTAGAAAGACCTTGCTTTTGTTTCTGGGCCTTGGAGCTCTTATCTCCCTTGGGCTTCTTTTTCTTTTCGTCATTTGGGCCTGGGTTCGACTTTGGGCCTTTTCCTTTTCCATTTGCCTTTGGAGAAACTCGGCCCAGAGGAAAGTTTCTCTTCTTCAGCGATAACCCGCGAGCCGCAGGCGATCTCAACGCCGGTTTCTTCTTCCGGTCGTCCTGTTTTTTTTCTCAGCTTCCGACGCTGATTCCTCACCAGCATCTGTCTTTTTGGGGCTTCTCAACCACGAAGCAACGGGGAAGTCTAATGGATCCGCCACAGACAGCACTAGATCTTCGGTCATCTCAAGGTCTTTGATCATCTCTTGTTCTCCCTCATTTTGATCTTTCGCGGGGATATCAGCATCCTTGAA